GCGCCTCCGACAAGCGGGCCAATGAAGACGACGAAGCCAGCCATCATTTAGTGGCACAGTTCGGCAGCGACGGATGACTTCTTAGCGTGACTGAGTCACGAGTTAGGAGCCACTAATAGAATTCGCGTGTGAGTAAAAGGTACTCGTTAGTGTGGAATGACAATAATTTATATTCCTTTTTACTCGGTTACTGCGCAACCGGGCACATAATGCGGACCACGGTTCAACCGAGGAGCATTAACTATATTTGTTTCGGATAAATCTGGTTTATAGAAATCCTATCGCGGTCATGGATTATGTGTCCACCGCAGGGGCAGAAGTAATCGATTCTTGAAACGAATTGTGAAACCCAAATCCAAAGAATTCGTGAAATAGTCGTGCAAGTGAATCCGTGCGATCCTGCCGTTCAGGCTGGGTGACTGTGGTAAGTAAATTTAAGATATACGGGGCAATGCCAAAAAGAATGTGAGCTGTTGATCAATAGCTTAGGACTAACATTGAATATGAATACCACTCACTATTTACAATAGCCTTGTGGATACACTGAGGACACATCATACAAAAACAACACGTGGATATCACACTTTTAAGCCTGTCCACAATTTAATGGAAATAAAATGCGCATTACAAAGGCTCAATATAAAAAATAGCAGCTGATATCCCGCTATACTGTATGCTCTGTATATACATTTGTAGTGAGTCCAACTGAGTAACAGACATTATTCTTCAGAGGCAACACATTTATTCGCAACACGTATATACAAAGGGGTAACTGCCCCATTACCAGATACAGCCTAGGGTGATGATTACCCAGATAACTACACTATACAGAGGCGTTACGGCTACGAAGGGTGGGACCCTCACTCGGGTCCCCGGCCACGTGTTGGTGCCTCTTCAGACGTAGGACGTAGAACGTGGAGCTTCCAGCTTGTAGAACGAAGCGACCCCGGTCCCTCTCAGGGACCCACCTTTTATCCTCCCGGGTCGGGGCCGGCTCCGCCCTCGGCCCCGCCCGCCTTCGCGAGCCTTCTAGCTCCCTCTCGATCCCTCTCGAGAGCTCTCCCCGGACACGTGATCGCCCCCTAGCCCCCCCACCTTTGACCCTCTCTGTGGACACTCCAGATCACGTGTCTACGGGGTTAACCAGAGGGCCATGGCCCTGGGGAACCCTGTCCCTGGGCTGACACTCTCCCGCTCCCCCTTATGGGAAGCCCGCACTACACGCTACGCGTGGTGCCCGCGCTATCCCAGCGCTCACCAAGTCCCGCTAGGGCTGGTACTACACCCACCTTAGGGGTGTGCGCGATGACGGTGCATCGCACGCCGTGCTATGCCAAAGCCGGCCTCACTCAGCAACACACACGGTGCTGTCCGCGACGTAAGTACATGGCACGCCATGGCCCTCCCGGGCCGGCACCATACAGTGACATCCCCGATGTCACTTCACTGGCATGAGGAATTTCGTGGCGCACAAGGGAAACCGACGAGCCATCTCGCTCGTCGTGAATTCTCCGCGATAGATTATATAGATTACATAGGCAGCGCTCTTCTTAGAAAAAAAAACTCTTTTATTTATGACTATTTTCAAAAGCAGACAATTTTACGCCGTGGGAGTTTGAAGGGAAGGCGGAATTTTTTAAAATTATTTTTTTGACACCAAGCCCCGACACCAACGCTTGTCGCACGAAATGCGTTCGTTCACTCGGCAAAGGACACGATTACGGCAAACGAAAACAATCAATAGAAAGCTGGCCCAGTGAAAGGCGAGCTGGAAATACTGAAGGAGCGATGTGCAACTTCCATGTTTCGGACATCATGTGTGCAATGGTTTCTCTCTCTCTCTCTCCCTTTGTCTCGATTTCCACAGCCTGCACCGCTGCTGTCACGCTGTCTCTCTCTCACTCGCTCGCTCTCTCTCTCTCTGCTCGCTCTTCACCCATCATTCACGCTCTTCGCCCATCACTCACGTTCTCTCCTTTGTCTTTCGCTTGCTTGAGGTTTTAGCCACTAATTTTGCTCGTGTACGCACGACGAGCAAAATGGGTTTTTTTTAAGGAGGATGATTGAAAGTACCCGCAGATTTGGGACGTATTCTTTCATTCCGTATTGGCGTCACTCCTAACGTCAGCGCACTTATTCCATTAAATGGTCGGTAGATTTAAATGCCCTTTGAAATTTGTCTTGCATTAGGTCTGTGTGACCCGCGTTTAACTCTTCAATTATTCTGGCCATACCGTAGTAATAATAATAAAGTCCTGCCATGTTAATATACTGATCCATCGCTGGATGAAAGCCTCTCAATGTCCTCTCGGTCATGAGGGTCGTTTGACCATACTTCACCATGCTGGTCATTGCGAGTTGGCGAAGAGGATGGGGACCCAGGGCCAGCTTATGTTAGCCATGGCCAGGAATCGGAATAAGGTCACCTGGTTCACATTGCAGTGTGCTAACCACTGCACCACCTCTCCACCAATATTACTAAGTCTGCCTGTTGGTATAGTGAGAGACACTGCAGCTTGACTGAGAGTAGAGCTCACAATGACAGAGTGGCAATGGCAATACCTTACGTGATATAGGTGTTCTTGCTCTGGTTTTGATTGCTAATTACTTCATTGATGTACTATGTTCTATTTTGGGCGGCAGTGAGATGTTAACCACCTCGCCTGGTATAAAAGAGGTCGTGGATTCGATCTGACCCTGACGCCTGTATATTTGGAGTTTGCGTGTTCTCCCCGTCGCCGTGTGGATTTTTCTCCAGGTCCTCTGGTTGTTCCCTCCACATTTATAATCAACAACACGCGTTTAGAGTATTTGGCTGCTACAAATATCCACATGTTGATAAGCCACTCCGTTGAGCTATCATTTGTGATAGCCGTGTCGCTTCTGAAAAAAAGAGCTATAAAGTTCCGTGGGCCTTACCTGGTAAAATAAAACATATACAGTAGCTCAGTTTATTTTTTTTATCACGTTGGTGCCCCAGGTCAATCTTACGAAGAAGACTTCTATCCTGGTCTCTTGAGTTATCACCCTTTTCAACAAAATACACCTGGAACTTGAGCTCGATTGGCCCTCATTTAAACTAAAGCTCAGGGCAGCGGAAGTTATTCGGAGCTTCTTCTTTGGTTCTTTCGGTAAAGTCACGTAGAATGAGAATAAAATAATAAAATAAAACAATTAAAATTCTCACGACGTTTCGGCCACAACACAAGTGGCCTTCTTCAGGTGAAAGGAACAAACCTGTCGGGACGACATTGTAGCTCTGTCGTCCCGACAAGTCTGTTCCTTTCACCTGAAGAAGGCCACTTGTGTTGTGGTCGAAACGTCGTGAGAATTTTATTGTTTTATTTTATTATTTTATTATCATTCTACGTGACTTTACCGAAAGAACCAAAGAAGATGAATCCTTACAGTCACTAAAACTTCAAATCGAAAATTATTCGGAGCTGTGTTAATGAGCGCATTTATAGATCACGTCACTCAAATCCATGGGCATGAATGTGGCTATGACAAGCCGTCGGCAGGATGGATAGTGAGACTCGTGGTTTGTTCGTGAAGAAGAACCAAAAATCGATATTTTTTAGGAGCTTTGAGACTCAAATCAACGGCTTTCCTAGGTACTTAACTCATCGTTGTCACAGCAGTCAACTGTTACTCGGCATGCCGTTGAGCCAGGTTTATGCTAAATGTTTAAGTGCAGCGTGCATCTTAAACATAGCCATAGCATTTAGATACGAACATATATTCGAGACAACGACCATGGCCACGGTAGACGCACTAGCTTCTGTACTGGAATGGAGAGGGAAATATGTACGGCACGTGCACATTTTGCTGCACATTCAGTGACCTATTGCCGTTCCCACTTAGACCTACATGCCTGGGCGACTGCTGGTTCAATAGTGCACGGGCTCGTGGTGCTTAACAGTGGTTAATGTGAGGTGGTTTATGCTCCGGTGTGCATTCAGGTGAGAAGAATATGCTGATGCTGCAATGAAATGGCGATGCAATGGCGTGTTTGGGGCGGGGAAACAATCTGTGATACTCCTGCAAAACCTTTTTTACGCAGACCTCTTTGATTATGCAATGGAAAAATACGTATAGTAGCATATAATGTGCGTATACTAAATGCACTATAATATATGTAGTATACAATTAAATTTGACCACGGTTGGCTACGTACGGCACGAAAGAATGTCAACATACAGTATTTGCATTCATAAACCGTCATTTGAGGGAGTATTATTTTTGGATGTACTTAAATGACTAACAGGGTTGACTATCCCTGTGATGATGATGATGTTGACGATGGGTACATATTTCTGTACACAAGTGTAATGGATTCAACTGAGTTGCAGACGTACTCTTGGAGTTAACACATTAATTTAACACCAACACACGGGGTAACTGCCCCTTAACAGAATAACAACCTATGGTGGTGACCACCAGGCTAACTACACTAGTTACGTTACTAGCTATGACGGACCGGGACCACAGCTCGGGTCCAGGTGCACGCGTTGGAGACTCGGTAGAACGTAGAACGTAGAACGAAGGTTTCTTCAGGATGAACAACAACGCCGGCCCCTCTGGGGGTACCCGGCTTATATCCTCCTTTCAGAATCCTCGAGCAGGATCTGGCCCCCGACCACGTGACCACCTCCAGCCCCCACTTGGGGCCCCTTTGTAGACTTGTCACGTGTCCTCTCGGGTCAATCAGAGTGCCACGGCCCTTAGTAACCCCGTTTCCATGGCCGGCACTCCCACACCGTATCCTGTAGGGGCCGGCACTGCACGCCAAGCGTGGTGCCACCCAGCGCAATCAATCAGCGCTCACCGGGCCCCTCTAGGGTCGGTACTACACCCACACCATCGTGGTATCCGCGATGTCGTTACATCGCATGCCATGCCTCTCTAGGGCCGGCACTACACAGTGACATCCCGCGATGTCACTACACAAGTGCTAAGTTTCGCGTTTCTGCTGCGCTGTCTCCCAAACGCCCCCACAGGTTTATCCTGGTGTTCGCCTGCCTCATTCTCTCCGTGCTCTCCACCATCACCGTCTATCAAGATCCCGCAAACCACGGCCTCCTCATCCTGGTAACGCGAGGCCATCGTATTAACCCCCACCCACCTTGTGTTCGCTCACGCCACCACTGGCCAAAGGGGTTCAGGAGAGGCTCTCTTAGAGGGTATGTCGGGCTACACTTTCAGACTGGAAGTGGTGGGAGTGATTATATTAAAAATATCACAAACTACAATTTCAAAGCCAAGCTTAAAGACACGAACATTTCTACAACTATCAAAAATAACCTTTGGGTCCTTAACCTGTAAAATGTAACAGCACGTGCGTCACACACAGCACTCCTCAACCGAGTTGCCATTAACCACGTGACTGGTGTACAGGTCAGGTAACTCGATAACCCTGCCAGCCACCTACAGGCCCGACTCAGTATCGCATGCTGGTGTACACACGTGCATTGATTTGGTGCACAGCACATAATGACCTTCACAAAACCACACTTTACTCCATTGCTGCACGAGGACATAATTAAAAGAGTGGTCCATTCATAATGTGACACACAGACATGGCCACTGGTTGCAGCAATCACTCACTTGCTGTGCCGGTCTTAATAGGTGCACACTAACAGTCCTTGCTTCTGCAAGTCTGTGAGGCTAAATAGGGGCTCTTGGTCTTTTTATAGCCGCAACAACCCATTGATGCAACCAACAAAGCTGTAAGTCAGGTCAGGTCCTTCCTTGATACATATATTTTTAAAGTGTGGCATTCGTGTTCTGAAACTTGGAAGGAGAGATATGTGGCGCACTCTGAAGCCCCTCAGTCGCACACCCATAAAATAACAGTAAGTGCCATTAATCCTCAAAGGAAGATAAAGGCGTAGCCCTTGCAATTGCTTGCTCATTCTACTGCTGGCAGAAGGGGTCTATAGAGAGCCTCTAGAGTAGGGGTGGCCAACCTGTAACAGATCAAGAAACAAAAAATACCCATGAGTTCTGCAAAGAGCCAAGTGTATATATGTGTACATATATTGACAGTTTTTGGCACAGCACAGGAGACATTCATGATTCTTTGCTACTGTGATAGCATGTTCTACGTTATGCCCCTTCGATAAGAGCTGGATGTGGTAGATTAAAGAGCCGCATGCGGCTCGGGAGACTGTACCCCACCACACGCGATCCGCACACCCTGGTGAATTGCCTCTTTGTTGGTAATGAAATGTCCGATGGGAGCGCGTTCTAGGCTTGTCACAGAGGTTCACGGTTTGAATCCTGCCGGGCACCCTGTTTAATACTGTGGGTGTATTAACCGTGGATTTCTACTCACCATTTGCTTCACCGTGGGTGCCGAAGATCCCATGACATCATGTGAAGAAGCGTGGGTCATAATTTGGCAAATTCAAATTTAAAAAATTACATGAACACACATAGCAATCATCACACCATACTGCGAGAACGTAGGATAACCCTTCTAAAATTGAGTTGTGAGACTCGGCGAGGCTCTCTCTCTCGTGTGCATATTAGTAATCAAAACGTATCTGCATTTTTCGCCAAAAAACCTGGCAAAATCAACGTTTGCCAAAATTTCAATGTGGCCAATTTGGATTTGCATTTTTTAAAAAATGTGCACGCGGAATCAAGGAGGCCACTTGCAACTTCAATTTAGCAACTCCTAATGCCAGTGGTGCGATTATGGTCTCATTGGACTTCACATGATCCTCAGAATTAGTTTGGCAAAATTACTATATTTACATAAAATTCTGGATTTAGCTGCCAATTACAGTACTGGCTTTGCTAACTCCTCAGTGATTCTGGGTGAGCCACCGAAGAATTATTTTCTGAATCTGGGCTGTGATGAAAATTTGACGAAAATTATGACCCTCATTCACGCGTTTGCCTTTGAGTTTTAAATATTTAATGTTACATGTTATCCATGCATGTGCAGCGCACAGTGCACAAATTCTCAATCATATTGCGATGGGACCTCTGTGATTGCATTTCAGCAACCATTACCACATATACGTAACAACAAATATTATGTTACGAAGATGAATACTCACATGCCATTGATTTGTTTTTCAATATTAAAAATATTACATCGAAATGGTACAATATTTTATCGCGTTTCATTGCATTTTAGTGCATTGAAGGGGCTATTGTCCGTTTCGGAGCATGATTGCAGTCTCCTGTACATGAGCCATACCTGATTGTGCGATATACGTACGTGCAACTAATATAAATCACTGTGGCTCTGAGAGAACGACGAAGCTCTCTATATTCGTTTGGGAACGTTTTGTTACAAGACAATAATAGGCAGTGGGACCCGATGAACTGAGTTCGATTCCTGGCCAAGGCTATCATCAGTGGTGAATGATATCTGAACCGGTTCTCACCACCGAACCTCATCCCATCACCAAACCCACACTGATGAACACGATCAAACAGCCCCCATGACTGACATGGCATGGGGAGGTTTTCATACAGCAGTGGATTGACAAAGGGCTCAAAGATTATTATTGACTTGTAATCTGAAAGGCTGCACATTCAAACCCCAATGAGGGGTTGGATCAGCCCCTCATCTGTCCACGGTTGTTAAAAATTATAACCGCATTGTAGGAATTCAATCATTCTTATCCTATTGAATTATCTGTCCTTTGAATTTCCTCCACTGGCTGCCGGCTGTAAATAGGGGAGTTAGTGCAGCCCCACAAATACTTTGAGTGGAAAACCAATTAGAATTTGTATATGCTTATATAGGCAATACAAAAAATGTGCCTAAACTTCACACAATATAATTTTTTTTAAAAATCACTAGTTAATTGAATCTTGAAAGATCGACATTTGGCCTTTTTGTGCTATTTTCTTGTTTTAAAGGGGGTTTTTTACCATTAATTTACACGTTCTTTAAATGACTCCTACACCATTTATGTGCATCCTGTTTCCCAATACCAGAATCAGAATACGAACCACTGGATGTTTGTACTATAGTCATTCAGGTCTCTCTCTTGCATGGACTCTCACCTGCTGATAAATATTGTTCCAAGTTGATCAATTGGGCTGTTATATCGTTCAGTGTCCAAGTCCGAACAAGTGCTTTCCTGATCTGTATGTACTTCTTTCGCACCTTACGTAGCCAACCGTGCTAATCGGAGGTGCTCTAACAAGTATTGGGGGGGGGGGGGCGTTGCCATCGTTTGTGTACAGCCGAGCAAACGGTGGACATTATTCCCTTGCCAGAAGCGAGATTATTCATCGAAAACATGGCAGACGACTTCCACAATGTCGTACTCTTTGGCTGAACGGCGATGGCTATACACACCTCCAATCCAGCACTGCGGAAGCAAGGGTTGGTGGTCCGCGCAGATGCTGTGAAACTCCTCTCCCCCGAGCATTGAGGAGCCCATATTCTTGGTTCTTTCGGTAAAGTCACATAGATAGAAAGTAAAAAAAATATAAATTGAAATAAAAAATGTAATTAAAAATAAAAGCAAAAAAAACACGACGTTTCAATCGATACACACGCGGTCTTCATCAGTTGGAGATAAAAAGAGGAGCCATCTACCTTGGCTTTCCAGAAGACATTTACCCTGGCTTTCCAGAAGACAACACAGCAATATATGGACTCCGCCTATTCCATACAAGTGGAATATATTGTTGCCCCCTAACACGCCTGGGTTTTCCCCTAACGCTACAGTTTTCTAACACATGTCAACGCTCATTACTCTTTGGTTCTTTTGGTAAAGCCACGTAGGTGTTAAATAAATAAATAACATCACGACGTTTCGGGCGCAACGCAAGCGTCCGTCATCAGGTGGGACAACCACAGCAAGAAACAATTGCAACTTCAGATTTAGATTAAACGCTCATTAATTGGCCGATGGCACCTCAATATATCGAGGAACAGAGAGCTTCGGGGGAGGGGGGGGTGGGGTTGACACCGGCTCAATGCCTGGCCGTAGCCTTTACCGCTTGTCTGTGTGGTTCCTCGCACCTCTTGCGTCGTTCTTTCTCATCGAGAGTGAGTGAACACTGCGTGGCGGCATCGCGTTACAAGTTGAAATTATTACGATTATTTATTCAACCCGGGAGGATGAATTGGGCTGCATCAACCTACGCACGATCTGGAGTCGCGCGCGTACCAATCACGTCAACGCCCGGGCCGGGTTCATGTTCAATTCATCTCGCTTCGTCAGGAGACCGAGAAAAGCAGACAAATGGAACTTATCACACACCAACGCATCCACACGTATACTGAAAAATGTCTCACGGCACTCCGCTCGAGGCTGAGACCCATTTCCCTAAGTGGTGAGAAGTGACACTCACTGCGTGGGTCTTGACGGCAACCGCAGGGCTTCCAAGATTGTTCCTTCAAAGGTGATTTATTTTGCATTCCAGCAAATCTTAATTTGGAGCACATTTGGAATCTCATCAATGACTATAGATAGGACTTTGGTACGTCAGGGCTTAATGAACAAAGTGGCTGTCGTACTACCCTGGTGTTTTACGATGACAAATTGATGCTTCCATGTCTCAAATTACATAGGGGGCGAGCTCTCTAGTGTCTCATCATTCTGGCCTAGGTATTTCCGGATGGCCATCAGTAAATAAGTGCTCTCGACTGAGGGGGGGAGACAAGGTGATCATTATGATGTTCGGGATAGTCGTCAGAATGAAGGGACATTTTTTTATTAATAATATTGTTACTTTTTCTGGGCACAGAAATAAATGACCACCATGGCAAAAGGCTGTCGAGAGACCGCACTTACTGAAGGTGTAATCGATAAAGAGTTCATACGTTTCTTGACTTGAGCGAGGTTATAAGAGCTTTGGAACCAAGTCGAAAAGAGAAAATTGCACAGTTTAGCGGAAAGCGAAGTGTTGGGACTTGCAGTGTGGTGGTTAAATGCAGAATGGGTGAGATCAAACAGTCCCTCGGGTAGACCTCAACATGGGGTAGATACACTGAGGGAAGCTTGTGGGAACAGTATGGGCACGTATGATACCACACGTGGTTGCAGCCATTCGGGCAGACACAAGTGGTAGTAGAGCAGGCAGTGCTTGAATAAAATGTGCTCACATGA